GTCAAAGCCTTGGTAAAATAACCAGTTTTTCCAATTGTGTCCTGTTACAAAAGAAAACAGATACTTATTGCACTTATGCAAATAACTATATTGCCATAACTTAAAAATACTCACAGATAGTTTCCAAATTCTGGAGAAAATCAGGTAGAGAGAAACAAGTATGCTCCAAATTTTGTTCATGGGCACATACTAAATTGTTAAAAGCTGTCAGTATCTCCAAAGAAAAGTTTCTTTAACTTTGAAAAACGAAACAAAACGTTGGCAATATTTTAAGCGAAACATCAAGATTACTCCAGTCTCCTATTAGTTTAGTTCATGCAGTTAATTCCTGTCCTGCTTGATATTAATGAAAATTTTAGCTTTTCAAGAGTTCTGAACGTTTTTCTTCCATTCTGATGTTACAATTTCCAAAGTTATCAGAAACCTGCATTCAAGAGCACCTGTTAGACCTTTATAGCTGATCATAAAACCACCTTTTAAGGAGCGCCGAAATAAGACAATTGTATGGATGAGAAAAATTTTAGGGTGGCCATAGGTAAAGACACAATTGACAAGGATAGCTGTTACTTCTGTGGCACACAGTAAGTTTAACATAACAATTATAATTATTACTGATAATGTACACTAAGATATATCAGAATTATCAGAGTCTCCTATAACCCTGGAAAACATATCAATAACATATCATATAAATATAGATCAAAGAAAACCAAATACCATTTTATATTTATATGATTTTATACCAAATAAGCTAAATTTTACCGTTATATTAGTGTGCTATTAATGTTAAACTCAATTTTAATAAAACCTTGTAGACATAGTTACCCGATTTTAATGTTTGACGATGAGGTAAGATTTTCATAGACTCTTTTTAACTCTTTATAATTTTTGTTAAAGAACAGGTTAATGCTTTAAGAGAAACCCGTTGTGCTTTTATTTTAATGCCTAATTTACAGAAAAGCTGGATGACACCCCTTCAATCTTTAGCCAAAATGTTTACATACAGAATTTCCTTTACAATTAACCTTTCGAAACTTGCTTAAACCTTCAAAAACAATTCTTTAAACTTTTAACATAGGTTAAAAATCCACGTTCTTATGCCTACCAAAATACACTTTTTACCAAAAGTGTATTTTATTTTCCTTATGCACCCCTTGCACATAAACTGTCTCTTTAATAGTTTTAAATACATGTTGCACTGTTAATTTTTAGCAACCTTTACCTTTGTTGAGAACCCTGGTAAGTGGGATTTTAATGATGTGCTAGGTGTAGAGCCTAGGACCTAGACAGAAATGCAGATAAGGTCTGGCTTAGCCCAGCATTTAACTCCATGTGTCCTAGATTTTCCCTAGCTGCAAAGCAGGCAAATTGTACAGCCAAGAGTTCTAGCGACATTTCATAAAGCACTCGGGAGGCCTACTTACTTTTAAATTATACATTTCTTGCCTAAATTCCAGGTTACTGGGTGTTCTGACCCCAGACTCGACGTAGGGGTTATGGGGGTGTAGGTGTGCCGACCTCGTCCCAGACTATTGGGCATTGGTGGCGAGTCCGCGGACACTGCGCATGCGCGAGTCGGAAGCTGCCGCCCGCGGCGGAAGGGGCCGACCCGGGAGACTGAGGACTTGGATTGCTTAAGGACACCAGGCGGGCGCGACGACCTTCAGCCTCTCTCTTTGCAGCTTTGGCCCGTTCCTTTAACTTTTGTTCACTTGGGGCCGTTTGGCTTTTCCATGTGTCTTGGGCCCGCCCACTGCAGCCGCCATCTTGGAAACGGCCGCTGGCGCCTAGCTGAGCTGGTAGGACTTCCGGGTCGGGCCTCCAGTTGCCCGGGTAACGGGAGCAAAGTCTCGCTGGTGAGTTACTTAGTCTTTCATTCATCAGCGTAAAAAGAACTGAGTTCAGGTCGCAGGTCTCCTCCAGGGCGGACATTATCGTGTGCGCTGTAGTAACCTCTCATCGTGTGGAGTCGTTCACTTAGCGCGTATTGCTCCGGCGCCCTGCGTAACGCTAAGAGGCCTGAGGCCTGGGGTCCGATGCCCGCCTGGCTGTACTGTGGCGGCGGGAGCGGTGTGTGTGGGACCGTAGGGCGGCCTCACGGCTCGAGTTTCAGGACTGTGGGGTGCCTGTGTCTGTGGCGGTCGCCGGTGTCCTCGTGGTCCTCAGCAGGGTGCGGGTGGACAGCTCGCGCGAGGGCCCGGGAGTCTTGGAAACACTTTCCGGCGCGGTCTCTGGACTGAGCGCTGGGACCCGGACCGAACCAGCCGCGCTTGCCTCTGGAGCTGGACTAGCCGACTTTCGTTAGGTCAAATAATGAACCTTATACTGCCCAAGTGCGGCATTAATACCGCCTGGAGTTCTTGTCTCTTACTCATTTCTATCCCCGTATATTTTAGAAGTAGATTTATTTTATTTTTATTTATTTATTTTTTTCTGTGACAGGGTCTCGCTCTGTCGCCCAGGCTGGAGTGCAGTGGCGTGATCTGGTCTGGCTGCAACCTCCGCCTCCTGAGTTCAAGCGATTCTCCTGCCTCAGCCTCCCGAGTAGCTGGGATTACAGGTGCCTGCCACCAGTCCCGGCTAATTTTTGTATTTTTAGTAGAGACGGGGTTTCACCATGTTTGCCAGGCTGGGCTCGAACTCCTGACCTCAGCCCGCCTCGGGCTCCCAAAGTGCTGGGTTTACAGGCATGAGCCACCATGCCCGGCCCTTATTTTGTTTTTATTTTTATTTTTATTCATTTATTTTTTGAGACGGAGCCTCGCTCTGTCGCCCAGGCTGGAGTGCAGTAGCGCGATCTCAGCTCACTGCAACCTCCCCCTCCCGGGTTCAGGCGATTCTCCTGCCTCAGCCTCCCAAGTAGCTGGGATTACAGGCGTGTGCCACCACGCCCAGCTATTTTTTGTATTTTTAGTAGATTAAGCTGTAGTCACTAGGTCTGCAAGATAAAACTGTTTTAGAGGGACTGATAATAATGGGAATTCTGTAAGTGTAGGGATCATGATTTAGCTTACAGTATAAACCTTTCATTTACAAAAACACTGAGAGAAACAGTTTACCAAAATATACATTTGTATACTTAAAGGTACAAAGAACAGTGATTATCATATAACTGGAAAGTAAAAGAAATGTTTTAGATTGAGCATTTCCACAGAAATTACAGTTTTATCCTTTTTGAAAAAATAGAATTGTGTTTCAGAAAGAAGAAACGACAGTTTTAGCATGCAGAAAGGAAAAGGGAGAACAAGCCGGATCAGAAGACGAAAACTCTGCAGAAGTTCTGAACCAAGAGGAGGTACAGTTTTTGTTTTAGTGACAGTGATGAAAAAAGAAATCCTTTTGTGATTGCTTGTTTGTTCATACGTAGCTTTTCTTTCTTTCTTTTTTTTCTGAGACGGATTGTTGCTTTGTTGCCCACGCTGGAGTGCAGTGGCGTGATCTTGGCTCACTGTAACCTCCACTTCCCAGGTTCAAGTGATTCTCTTGCCTCAGCCTCCCAAGTTGCTGGGACTACAGGCATGAGCCACCATGCTCGGCCTAACACATAGCTTTTCTCAAAGGCACACAGTGTTCAAAGAGAATCTTTCTTTTTTCTTTTCTTTTCTTTTTTTTTTTTTTTTGGAGACAAGGTACAGTCTGTTACCCAGATTGGAGTGCAGTGGCGTGATCATGGCTCTCTACAGCCTTGAACTGCCAGGCTCAAGTGATCTCCTGCCTTAGCCTCCCTCCTGCCTCAGCCTCCCAAGTACCTCGGACTACAGGTACATGCCACTCCATCCGGCTAATGTTTTTTTAAATTTGTTTTAGCAACAGGGTCTCACTATGTTGCCCAGGCCAGTCTTGAACTCCTGGGCTCAAGTGGTCCTCCTGCCTCGGCCTCCCAAAGCACTGAGTCACTGTGCCCAACCCAAAGAGAATATTTCTTAAATAACACTCTTTTTAATGGTGCCATTGTATTCTTTTAGATCCTGGTGGGAATGTGAAGATATCTAACTCATTGTTTCAACTGTCTTCTCTGGGGGTGACTCCCAAGTTTCTTTTTCTGGTCTTGACCTTCAGCCACCTGTAGGATATCAGTGTTTGGATGTAAATTTATCACTTCAAATTCGGGGTAACCTTGTCTGAAGAAGATACTGTATCTTGTTCAATACAAAAGTGGCCATCTGGAAAGTCCTATGTAAATCCAACTGAATATGGTACAAGATATGGATAAGTTCACTTTTTTTTTTCTCTTACGGAGATCCAGTTGTTGGATCATCATTTATTGAAAAGACTACCTTTTTCCACTGATTTGCCTTCACACTTTGTCAGAAATCAGTTGTTCATTTACATATGGGCCTCTTCCAATTTTCTGTCCTGTTCCATTGACCTATTTGTCTGTCTTGACAATATCACAGTAATTTGATTACTGTAGCTTTAGAATAAGTTTTAAAATCAATCTTTCAAAGACATCGTGGCTATTCGAGGCTTTTTGCATTTCCGTATGAGTTTTGGGATCAGCTTGTTAATTCCTGTACGAAAGCCTGCTTGAATTTTGATTAGGATTACATTGAATGAATATAGTCATATGTTGCATAAGGATGTTTTGGTTGATGGATCACATGTACAGTGGTGGTCCTATTAGATTACAATACCGTATTTTTTTTTTTTCTTAAGAGGTGGGGTCTTTCTATGTTGGCCAGGCTGGTCTCAAACTCCTGGCCTCAAGCAACCCTCCCGCCTTGGTCTCCCAAATGCTGGGAATACAGATGTGAGCCACTGTGCCTGGCCAATACTGTGTTTTTATTGTACCTTTTCTATGTTTAGATACACCAGTTCTTACTATTGTGCAAGTCTCTCTGACACATTTCATCAGACATGTTCTTTTAAAAATGGTAATCTGATTATATAGTGGTTTTAATCACCATTTGTTCTCTCCTTGCCTGATAGTGAATGAGAGCCACAAGTCTGAATTTATAGAGCTAAGGAAGTGGCTGAAAGCTAGGAAGTTTCAAGATTCAAACTTAGCGCCTGCTTGTTTTCCAGGTAAGATCTAGCCTTCAGCTGTCCTGCCCTTTCCCACGCGAGAGCCAGGTAGACAGCAGGGGCCACTCTTGCAAGTGGGCCTCAGCAGATATTGTCCCTCTGCTGGTTTGCTTGTGCTCCCCTTGGGTTGGAGGAGGAGCCCCCTGTGTGTGGCCAGTTAATTGCAGAGCTGTGGGCTTCAGCACTGAGCTGAGGTAGATTGACATTCTCTTCTGGAACTTGCGCTTATTAGGGAGGTTAGGTTAACATTTTGCCAGGCGCAGTGGCTCATGTCTGTAATCCCAGCACTTTGGGAGGCTGAGGCAGGCAGATCACTTGAGCTCGGGAGTTTGAGACCAGCCTGGCCAAAATGATGAAATCCTGTCTCTACTAAAAGTCCAAAAGTTAGCCAGGCGCGGTGGTGTGCCCTGTAGTCTAAGCTACTCTAGAGGCTGAGGCGGGAGGATTGCTTGAGCCCGGGAGTTTGAGGCTGCAGAGAGCCATGATCATGCCCCTGCACTCCAGTGTGGGCGATAGAGTGAGACCTTGTCTCAAAAAACTAACAAAAACCAAAAACCACTTTCTTCTGGAACATTCTGTCACAGAGGTTGGGCAGCTTGCTCTGGGTGTGTGCCTGCATACATGGCCACTCCACTCTTCCACAGGTGGGCAGGAGATAACCACAGGGAGGACCAAGATGCTCTTTACAAGGATTTGGAGTCTGCTGCAGCACAGAGATAGTGGTGCAATTAGGGCCCCAAAGTTCTACATCACAGGGCAGGCTGCACCTTACAGAAAAGTTAAGGCATATGCCACACAATGCTCCCATTGTCCATTAGAATTATTACTCAAGTACCCGTTAGGTAATTGAACTTTGAGCAAATTAACTTCCTCATATACCCCCCGCCAAGGCAAATGATTTCCCACTTGTGCCCCTTGCTGAGTGAGGTGATGTGTGTAAAGTTGTTTTCCATGAGTCAGTTACACATTATGACTTTTAATGAAAATGCTTGATTTGAGCCATTTTCTATTAGGGCCCCTTCTAGTTGATGGTCATGAACCATATTGTCAGCCTCTAACATAGTGCTTGACTTTCTGTTTTTGTGTGTCAAAGATGGTCAGTAAAAGCCACATTCTTAGATTATACTGAACAGAGTTCTTCCCCAGATGATCAAGAGAGTCAGTAGTGTCAGCGGTAGACTTGCTGTGTCTGAGGCCTGCCCACATCTCAGGTGTCATTTGCCCTAAGATGGATGGGTTTAAAATCATCAAGCAGGAATCAGCAGATGGTTTAGATGGAATACCTGAAAATAGGTCATCTGTTTGTAATTTGGAGCAGTAAAGCGTTCCTATTTTTAAAAGTGAGAACAACTTGCCCTGGCCCCAGCCCCAGATTTCAGGCGATGCAGGTGCAGAAGCACAGTGGCTTGGCAGTGACCTGAGCCCAGTGCTTACAGTTCTGGGGACGAGGAACCTTCTGTAAGTGCTTCATATAGTTTTTAGCTCTTAATCAGTGTATGATGGGAGGTAACATTTTTGGGCTTCAGTCAAAATGTGTGAACTCTGGGGAATTCATCTTAGTTTGTGGAGGGGCATAGGAAATCTCCTAAGCAGGATTCCATCTTTAGACTCTCTCTTCTTTTCTGCCGTGGAAACTGACCCCAGCATTTCCTTTCACCACCAGAAGCGCTAGCCAGGTCAGGGCCTCCTATGTAGATTGATGATAGTGGAAATTTTGAGGCTTTGAGACATTTGTAATAAGCTTTACTCTTACGAGCTCCTAATGGCCACTTCTACTTTGCCTAATATATCCAATATGAAAATGAAAGTAAGTGTAGATTACTATGTGTTTTTTTGATATTAAACACTATCATGTAAATACAGGTAAAGGCTTTTCTAGATGTGTTCCATAGACCAGCTTTTGTTCACATATATGTTTGGAGAGAATTTCCACTTAGATTAGCACGTAAGGTTTTGGAAGGATAACCACGCAGAAGAAAATCTTCCCATTAGTAATTGATTCTAGGAGGAGTTCTGGCACACAGGGATGATCAACTCCACAATGCGGTACACAAAATCAATGAAATACGCTATCAACACTAGAACCAGCTGTGTGAGCAGACAGTATCCTCCTGGGAGGGGAGATGAATTGGGACTCATCAAATCCAACTTGCTGGGAAACCCATAGAGGACTTGAGGCAGGAATTCCCACCATGAACCGGGAGCATCAAATCCAACCTGCCAGGAAACTGATGGAAGACTTGAGGCAGGAGTTCCCTCCCACCATGAACCAGGAGCATCAAATCCAAGTTGCGGGAAACTGATGAAGACTTGAGGCAGGAGTTCCCACTGTGAGCCAGGAGCTCCCAGTAGTCCTGCATTGACTTGGCTGAATTATTTTCCCTCCCAGCTAAGAGAGGAAAGGTGAGGAATGATGAATTGGAGACGTTAATGCTCTAGGCCTCTTATGATCATGTAATACCTATGCCTGCCAGAAAAGCTGTCATCTGAGCATCCTTACAATGTTTGTCTGACTGCTCCCGGAGCAGAAGCTTAGGCATGGAGGGAGAAACTTCCGGAAGTTGGTGGGGTATTAATGCAGCTGCTGAGGTTACTGTGGTGACTGTGCTCCAGCTGGAGCCTTGGCTCCCAGGCATCCGCTGGAGCTGACCTACCCAGCTGAGCTCACCAGGTCATGGAGAGCCCATCTCATGGGTTACCTGATCAGAGAGGGGAGGATGTCTGCAGGCTTTGTGGGGACTTAAGTGGGGTTTACTGGCCAGCCGGCCAATCAAAGGGGTCTCAAGGTCTTTACTCTGGAGAGCTGAGTCTGGTAATGGGGATACATGGCCTGGGGCTCTAGCCTCAGAGGTTGGCTGGGCATTGGGAATAGCACCTTATTGGCCAGTAGGCCCCAGGGGAGAGAGTCCAGCCAAAGCTTCCTGCAAGAGGCCAGGAGTAGGTCTGTATCAAGTCCACGGTAGTCTTTAGGTCTCACCTCTGAAGCTGACTTTGCCCTTCAAGGATTATAACTCACTGGAGGTCAAGACATTTTCTGGAATAGCTTTCTGACTCCCTGTTTCTCCTTGGAATCAAAGACTGAGACACATCCAGCTTCAGCCTTGTGTAATTTTGAAGTCAAAAATTTTTTTTTTTTTTCATAATGATATGTCTAGGGCCTCGAAGGTGTAGTAGGATTTACTCTTTGTGTCTTTGCTTCCTAGGTACAGGAAGAGGGCTGATGAGCCAAACATCCTTGCAGGTGTAGAATTTTCCTTTGATCCTTGAAACCCAGTGTAGATTTTGCTGCTTTGTTTTGTGGTCAAATGAAGTGGATTAAAAAAAATTTCAGACATACAGTCATTCTTAGCTTACCTAATAGATATGTTTGAATATGGTTTCTATCAAGCTAGGATTAAGTTGTTGCAATGAAAGACAAGCCGCAAAGTTGAGGTGCTTAAGCAGCATGGAAATTTTTTTTTCTCACTCATAGAAACAAGCTTGGAGTAGGCTGACCCGAGCTGGTGGGGCAGTCCCATGTCGCGTGGAGCCCCAACTCCTCCCAGCCTCTCATGTCCTTAAGGGAGACTGCAGCCTCAGGTCAGGGTGCAGGTCTTGGAACTTGGCAGCAGGAGAGAGCAAGGGGGTGGAGAAGGGCAGGCTTCCTCTCCTTTACAGGAAATTCCAGTCCCTCTGTCCTTGACCGGTGATCAGGTACACCAGCCTAGCCATCTGCAAGGAGGAGAGCCGTGGCTGCCTTTCCCCAGCCATTGCCCTCTAAGTAGGATTCTGTTAGTGAGGACGGGGTGAGAAGGCGTGTTGGGATAGGGCAACTAGCAATCTCTGCCACAACACATTACATGTCAGATCACGTTTAAAGTGTGCTGAGGCAGCTGCTGCTGTTTGTGAGGCAGTTGTGGTGCAGCAGGTAGAAACCAGAGCTAAGGGAGGATGAGGCCCCGGGTTTGGCCCAGAGTTCCTTCAGCTGCCTGGGCCCCAACCCGAGACCCCTCATACCCTTGCCTTCCGTTCTTCCTCTCACAAAATGAGGAAGTAAATGATGACCTCCAGGGTTTCTTTTCGTTCTTCCGATCCTGTTTTAAAGATCTCTAACGCACGATTTTCTGTAAAGCTAGAAATTAATTTCTTCCTTTATTAAAAATTGTCCTTTAAAAAATTCTTTATTTAAAACTCATACTCAGATGTGTACATACGTTTAGTCTAAGGATGGTATCTTTTTTTTGTTTGTTTGTTAGTAGATAAAAAGTAATTTTTTTTTTTTTGAGACAGAGTCTTGCTCTGTCGCCCAGGCTGGAGTGGCAGTGGCATGACCTTGCTCCCTGCAACCTCCGTCTCCTGGGTTCAAGCAATTCTCTTGCCTGAGCCTCCTGAATAGCTGAATTACAGGCGGTGTGCCATCAAGCGCTAGGCTTAATTGTTTGGTTTTTAGTAGAGACAGGGTTTCACCGTGTTGGCCAGGCTGGTCTTGAACTCCTGACCTCAGGATCTGCCCGCCTCGGCCTCCCAAAGTGTTGGGATTACAAGCATGAGCCACTATGCCTGGTCCAAAGGTAATTTTAATTGTTAAAAATGTTGTGCTAAAAAGATAAATTTTTAAAATATTAAAGGAAAATATAATTAAAATGCAAACACAGTCAGCAAGGGAATTCAGGTTATGTTTCCTAAACAGGTGAAAATCACAAACACAAGAAGTCCAATATATAAAGAATGGTATGTTTTGATGTTGTAATTCTATTATGCTGTGTTAATGTTTTCGTCATTTAAATTTTTTTAATTGTGGTAAAATATATGTAATGTAAAACTTAACATCTTAACCATTTTGAAGTTCAGTAGTATTAAGTACTTTCATATTGTCGTGCAGTATTTTTATTTTTGGAGGAAAGTGTAATTGACTTTATTCTGTAGCAGAATTTGGGGATGAGAAATGTCATGTATGCAGCAGTAACTACAGGTAGTCTTTGTTTAGGTCATGAAATAATTGGCAGTTGTTTCACATGTACATTCAAATGTGGTTGTTTTATCAAAAGTTTTTGAAATTTGAGACATATTTTACATATAGTGAAATGCACAGCGAAGTGTACAGTTTGCATTTTGATGATAAAGAGATTTACCCAAATATTTTCTAACCATAAGATCATAGGATGTTGGAATGGGAAGTGACCATGGTGATCATCCAGCTTAATCTTGCTTTACAGATGAGGAAACCAGAAATTGATCCCGGAAGATTTTTTGGCTGAGATTTTTTTTTTCTTTCTTTCTTTTTTGAGAAGGAGTCACGTTCTGTCACCCAGGCCAGAGTGCAGTGGCGCAATCTCCGCTCACTGCCATCTCTGCCTCCTGAATTCAACTGATTCTCCTGCCTCAGCCTCCGGAGTAGCTGGGATTACAGGCACCTGCCACCATGGTCGGCTAATTTTTGTACTTTTAGTAGAGATGAGGTTTCATCATGTTGCAGGCTGGTCTTGAACTCCTGGCCTCAAGCAATCCACCCGCCTAAGCCTCCCAAAGTTCTGGGATTACAGGCGTGAGCCACCATGCCCGGGCTTGGCTGAGATTTTTAACCAACTTAGATGCCAGTTAGAATTAAAGGAGAATCTCACATCTGGCTTCATCATGTTGTGTTTATTTAAACTGTTTTCTATTACTTTACATCGAATTTTTCTTCTGTGGTTCTATCTCAGTGGGAGACACTGAGAACGATACTCTTGCAAGTGGTAGAATTCGATCCTTACTACGTTGGGCATGCTGGCCTTTCTTTAGCTCCTAGGCGTGGGTTACGTAGAGAGCAGACCATTGCCTAGCCACTTGGATTTCACTGAATACAATTTTTTGGGGGTAGTTTCTGAAGGGGGCTGCCCCTCTACACCTGTGGGTATTTCTCATCAGGAGGGATGAGAGACTGAGAAAAGAAATAAGACACAGAGACAAAGTATAGAGAAAGAAGAGTGGGCCCAGGGGACCGGCACCAGCGCCGGTCTCCGGGTGTCCTCAGTATTTATTGATGACTATTTTCACTATCTCGGCAAGGGGAGTGGGGCAGGAGAACAGGGTGAACAGGGTGATGGTGGGGAGAAGATCAGCAGGAAAGCATGTGAGTAAAGGAATCTGCATCGTAAATAAGTTGAAGGGAAGGTACTGTGTCTGGATGTGTACATAGGCTAGATTTGTTTCTCTTTACCCAAGCATCTCAGTATAGGAAAGAGTGACTGAGTAGTATTGCTGCCAGCATATCTCTCCTCCAACCGCAGGGTGGTTTTCTCCTATCTCAGAATAGAACGAATAGTTGGATTTACACCGAGATATTCTGTTCCCAGGGACTTGCGGGAAACAGGCCTTCCTCTTTTACTAATCCTTCTTAGCACAGACCCTTTACAGGTGTTGGGCTGGGGGACGATAAGGTCTTTTCCTTCCCACGAGGCCATATATCAGGCTGTCTCAGTGGGGGGAAACCTTGGACAATACCCAGACTTTCTTGGGCAGAGGTCCCTGCGGCTTTCCGCAGTGCATCGTGCCCCTGGTTAATAGAGAATGGAGAATGGCGATGACTTTTACCAAGCATACTGTCTGCAAACATATTGTTAACAAGGCACATCCTGCATAGCCTTAAATCCCTTAAACCTTGATTCAATACAGCACATGTTTCTGTGAGCACAGGGTTGGGCCTAAAGTTACAGATTAACAGCATCTCAAAGCAGAATGATTTTTCTTTGTACAGATCAAAATGGAGTTTCTTATGTCTTCCTTTTTCTACATAGACACAGTAACAGTCTGATCTCTCTTTCTTTTCCCCACAGTTTCTGTTTGTTTGCTATTGGTAGCACTATTTCCTGGCATAAGAAAGTGCAGAAACAGGTGAAACCCTGTCTGTACTAAAAATACAAAAATTAGCTGGGCATGATGGCAGGCGCCTGTAGTCCCAGCTGCTCAGGAGGCTGAGGCAGGAGAATCGCTTGAACCTGGGAGGTGGAGGTTGCAGTGAGCTGAGATCGCGCCATTGCATTCTAGCCTGGGAGACAAGAGCAAAACTCCATCTCAAAAAAAGAAGTGAAGAAACAGTATAATTTGAATTGTCAACATGTTTCCACCACTCATTCTGGTGAAGGGTTGACTGCCTGTCAATGCTTTCATTTTTGTTGGGGTTGTGGGAACTGGCATTGGAGCAGCCTTATGTGCATCTGCTGACTCGCAGAGTTGGGAGTGACTCCGTTGGTGGCTTTTGGTTGAGTTATAGTGGGTTCTTGGTAGGTGACTGTGGGATCAAAGACTTTTTCAGACTCATACTCCTGGGTTCTTCCCAAAGCATAGGCATCCTCAACTTTGCTTTCCTTTTGGCCAGGAGGGACAGATGATTATTTCGTTGCCTGAGAGTTGCCTGCTCACCACGGACACAGTGATTCGAAGCTACTTAGGGGCATACATTACTAAGTAAGTGACCACACACATGCTTACCTGGTGCAAGTGCTTCTCGTTAAAGTCTGTCATTGGCGAATATGTCTCTTGAGACATAATTCATTAATACCCAGTCCCTTTTAGAGCAGATAAATACCTGAAATGATGTGAAAAGTTTACTCTGTTCTAGAAAGTTTGTCCTCTCTCTTCCCCTCCCTCCCTCCCTCCCTCCCTCCCTCCCTCCCTTCCTTCCTTCCTTCCTTCCTTCCTTCCTTTCCTTTTCTCTCTCTGTCTGTCTGTCTTTCTTGAGACGGAGTCTCACCTGTTGCCCAGGCTAGAGTGCAGTGGTGTGATCTTGGCTCATTGCAACCACTGCCTCCTGGGTTCAAGCGATTCTCCTGCCTCAACCTCCCAAGTAGCTGGGATTACAGGGGCCCGCCACCATGCCTGGCTAATTTTTTTTTTTTGTATTTTTAGTAGAGTTAGGGTTTCACCATCTTGGCCAGGCTGGTCTTGAACTTCTGACCTCGTGATCCTCCCGCCTCGGGCTCCCAAAGTGCTGGGATTACAGGTGTGAGCCACCGTGCCCAGCCGGAAAGTTTGTTCTTAATTCACTGTAAATGGCATTTTTAAGGTTTTTAATAGGCTTCCTGGAGTGTGGGTGTGATACCACCATCTATCACTTACTAAGAAATAAAAATTAAATGGGATAATATATGTAAATCACAGCTGAGTGCTTTGGTTCTTAGTAGCCTGTTCTCTTCCATCATAGTAGCTCTTGACAAATGTAAGTTACTCTCTCTTATTTCTACCCTTACTGTACTTCAGTTTTTCTTGAACTTTGAAGAGCTGTTGACATTATGAAAGAATTAGTTTTATTTGGGTATAGAAGAGAGGAGGCTGATGTGGGAGAACTGTTTTCTGGCACACGTTCTGCTGGGCCTTTGTTTTGGGGCATCTCTGAAGACAGAGTGAGAGACCCGCAGTGGAAGGGATTTCTAAATTACGAGGGTACCGTTTCTTTCTTTCTTTTCTTTTTTGTTTTTTTTCTTTTTCTTTTTTTTTTTTTTTTGAGACAGGGTCTTGCTGTGTCGCCTAGGCTGGAGTGCAGTGGCGATCTTAGCTCCCTGCAACCTCCACCTTCTGGGTTTAGGCAGTTCTCATGCCTCAGCCTCCCAAGTAGCTGGGATTACAGGCATGCTCCACCGTGCCTAATTTTTGCATTTCTATTAAAGATGGGGTTTCACCATGTTGACCAGGCTGGTCTCAAACTCCTGGCCTCAAGTGATTCACCCACCCCGGCCTCCCAAAGTGCTGGGATATAGGCAAAGGGCCACTGTGCCTGGCATATACTGTTTCTTAACCGTTAGGTAAGTTCTGGACTTTCTTCCCCTGGCATGTTTTTGGAAGAAGGTGAATAGGTCTTTTAGGCCCGTGTAGAGGCAAGGATGCTGTCATTATAAACATTTTCTGAATCATTCTGAAATTCTGAGTAGAATGTATGGCAGTATAGGAATCTGGACCTTGAAGGATTGATGAAAACTTTTTCTAAATACCTTCAGGCAACATGAGATCTTTTTATTGGCAATTGTGCAAAACAAATAAAAATACTGTGATCCATAATTTGTAATAGAGCAGGTAAACTTAGGAATAAAAGCGTTAGAACTACACAAGTGTATATGAGCATATTCCATTTTGGTTAAGGTTGGTGCCTTCCAGCAGAGCTTTCAGCAATGACATGTTTTTTCTGCATTGTCTGGTATGGTGGCCATTAGCTCTGAATGGCTATTGCGCACTTAAAACATAGCTTATCTCACTGAGGGATTGAATTTTAAATATTATTTAATTCTAAATAATTAAGGGTTAAATTTAAATAGCTCTGCGTACCCAGTGATTACTATATCGGATGGTGCAGGTCTCTGTTCTTTCCACCATTTTTTCCCCACCATATTTTATATCTTTATTTAGGTGAGACAAATGGAGTTAGGTCAAAAGCTTTGTAACTGGAGAACCAAGTTGGAAACAAAGAGGTTTTTTTGCAACGAGGAATCTCTTGCAAACAAACCTGGAACTTGGCCTAGTGAGTCAGTTTTTCTGACATGTAAGTATGGCTCTTTCAGAGCACTGGCACTGGGGCTGTGCTCCCCCGGAGAGGAAGAGCCTTAAGGAAGGAAGGAAGGAACTCTTTTGAGTCTGTTAAGTAAACTGAGTGTGTTGACAGTTTGAACACACTCCCTCTGGCAGCAAAACAAACTGCTTGGCTTATTTCATATTTTGAATCAAAGTAATTCCTTTAAACCGGCTTTTAATTTTCAAAGGTGGAAGCCGCCTCCGTCTCCTCTGCTGGCGCTGTGTACCTTTTTAGTTTCAGAGAAGCATGCTGGGGACCGATCTCTTTGGAAGCCTTACCTGGAGATTTTACCCAAGGCCTATACCTGCCCTGTTTGTTTGGAGCCGGAAGTGGTGAACCTTCTTCCCAAATCTTTAAAAGCAAAGGCTGAAGAGCAGAGAGCCCATGTGCAGGAGTTCTTTGCTTCCTCCAGAGACTTTTTCTCTTCTCTGCAGCCTCTGTTTGTGGAGGCTGTTGACAGCATCTTCAGCTACAGTGCCCTGCTGTGGGCTTGGTGCACCGTCAACACCAGAGCCGTGTACCTGAGGCCCAGGCAGCGGGAATGCCTTTCTGCAGAGCCGGACACCTGTGCGCTCGCTCCATACCTGGACCTGCTGAATCATAGCCCACGTGTCCAGGTGAGAAGCTGACAAGGGAGCTATTCTATTTGGATAGGAAAGCTTCCACTGCCCAGAACCTGTGACTGTAGATGGTGAGTGACACCACAGGGAGAGGCGTCGGTAGCTTCAGGTGACCCTGTTGGGATGGCCTGCCGTCAGGAGGCTCCTGTTGTTCTTCCAGACCCCACTGTCCCACTTGCAGTGCTTGCCTCTGCCCATTTTCTCCACTTTGCTCTTCAGGCCTACAGAACCTCATGTTGCATCCCCTGTCCGGTCTTTCCCAGCAGGTGGTGCAGAACCCTCCTTCCTTCTCCCTTGTTCCTCCTTCAAGACCAGGACTGAAGCCCAGCCTGCTTTCCTGCCCTGTCGCTTTTAAACTTGGTGTTATAGCTGTCACAGCTTTTCTCTTTGCTCTGATCGCTGACTGACTTGATCTTTTTCCCACTGAGCTCTGAAATCTTTGAGAATGGGGTCTTTGTCTTGTTCCTCTTTGTCACCCCAGTGCTCATGGCAGGGCCTGGCACATAGTAGGTGTTCAGTAAATGTTTATTGAATGGATGGGTATTTGTGGGGAAAGGGTTCTGGGAAATAATGAAAGAAACCCGATTCGGGAGATGGTCACAGATCGCATCCTCCCGAGCCTTTTCCCCAGGTGGCTCATTTGGGAAACGAGTGTTGTTTGCAGGGCATGCAGGGGTAGAGGCCTGGCTTGGAGAGCAGGAGAATGTCCATCAGTCGACTCACCTGTAACGCTTTTGGGGTGTGTTGTGGAGGGACATGGCTGAGATCCGTGTCCTGGCTGTCACCTTTACATGACACTCCACTGTGAGAAGAGCAGTCATGCCTTGTGAGCCCACGTGCTAAGCTCATGTGCTCTCCACATGAGATCAGAGCTTAGGGAGGTTCCCGCTCTGCTTTCTTAGCCCAGGAACAAGGGCTGTCTGCTTGTTAATTTTGTAGAAAGAAGTATCTTTAACAATCAGGAGCAAAGGAGCCTGGGATTAGATGAGTGTTTCTGTGGTTGATGTTGATGAAATAATATCAGGGGTGTGTAGTGTGATAAGATGCTAGACATGGGAACTCCGTCTGTCCCCAGTGCAGTGATTTATTTTTATTGGGACTTTTGGTGCATTTATGTGCCAAACCAATGATTTTATAGTCTACTGTAGGAGGACCACACCACAAACTACAGCCTGTGGGCATGTGGCCCGAAAGCCCTGAGCTAAGAGTGGTTTTTACACTTTGAAAGGATTGTAAAAATACAACTTGTGACAGAGACCACATAGGGCTGGCAAAGCTGAACATGTTTACTCTCTAGCTTTTTACAGATAAAGTTTATTGGCACCACCATGTCCTCCTTCCCTGGGCTATGAGTGGACGTGACCAATAAACTGCTGATGATCTCATCTGTGCTGTGTCGGGTGATGTGGTGTGGCCATCCCCAGCGCCCTAGGGCAGGACTCCCTCCCTCATCAACAGGGTGAAGTCGAGGTGGATGAAACCGGAAGTGGCATGTTCCCTATGCATAGTTACATTTATTGATGGGTGTTTGAAAGCTGCACTTGACTCACATTAATATTACATAATAACTTAATCAGTTTTTGTAGTTTTACACCTTACTTTAAAAAAAACCTTTAACAGTTTTTCTTTCTAGGTAAAAGCAGCATTTAATGAAGAAACTCACTCTTACGAAATTAGAACGACTTCACGCTGGAGAAAGCATGAAGAGGTATTCATCTGTTACGGCCCTCACGATAATCAGCGGCTGTTCCTTGAATATGGATTTGTTTCCGTCCATAATCCTTATGCTTGTGTTTATGTCTCAAGAGGTGGGAATCAACTTTGTTCTTAACATAAACACTGTATAATTTTTTTTCCCAGTTGGAGATGTGTATTTTCAGTTTTAATAAAAATATCAAAACCGTAAGACTGACATACACATCACTAATTTTCTTCTAGGTAGGCCTAGCCTTACTCTTACTGACTGTAATTTCAGTGTTGAAGTAAAAACAACAAAGCTCTGACTGATATTTAGGATAAGAAGAATTAAGAAGTTTTCATTGCATTGGGTCAAAATATAGAATAGAAGAGGCCGGGCGCGGTGGCTCAAGCCTGTAATCTCAGCACTTTGGGAGGCCGAGACGGGCGGATCACAAGGTCAGGAGATCGAGACCATCCTGGCTAACATGGTGAATGACCCCCGTCTCTACTGAAACAAAAAACTAGCCGGGCGCAGGTGGCGGGCGCCTGTAGTCCCAGCTAATTGGGAAGCTGAGAGCAGGAGAATGGCGTAAACCCGGGAGGCGGAGCTTGCAGTGAGCTGAGATCCGGCCACTGCACTCCAGCCTGGGCGACAGGAGTGAGACTCCGTCTCAAAAAAAAAAAAAAAAATATATATTATATATATATATATATATATATAATGTAGAATAGAAGAAGAGGAAAACTGCTAGGAAAATATAACTGATATTAAAGGATGGAAATGTTTATACTGAGATGTTGTCACTGGCACTAAAGACAATAGAATTAGAGAGCAATGAATAAAAAATATTTATTAAGCACCTACTGTGTGTAAGACACTGCTAATCACAGAGATAAATCTATAGTCCTTGTTTCTGGAGGTTGATGCCATGATGACATTTGATTTCATCTATGTTCTTTTGTTTTTGGTTTTATTATTTTTGGTTTTATCATTGGTTGTATTTTTGAGTCAGAGTCGCACTCTGTTGCTCAGGCTGGAGTGCAGTGGCGTGATCTTTGCTTGTTGCAACCTCCGCCTCCCAGGTTCAGGCGATTCTTGTGCCCTAGCCTCCGGAGTAGTTGGGATTACAGGCATGCGCTACCACGCCTGGCTACTTTTTGTAATTTTAGTAGAGATGGGGTTTCGCCATGTTGGTTAGGCTGGTTAGCCTCAAGTGATCTGCCTGTCTCAGCCTCCCAAAGTGCTAGGATTATAGGAGTGAGCCACTGCACCTGGCCTGGTTTTATTATTATTATTTTTAATTTTTGTTTTTTCATATGATAGAGACAAGCTTGTTATGTTGCCCAGGCTGTCTTCAAGTCCTGGGCTCAAGAGATCCTCCTGCCTCAGCCTCCCAAAGTGTTGGTATTACAGGCGGGAGCCACCGTACTTGGCCCAGTTTTATTATTTTAAAATAGTAAGTTAGCCATTACACTTAAAATGTGAAAATTCCAAATATAGTGTTAAAAAAGTGCATAGAAGACTGATTTTTCCCTTTGTGAAACAGTAGAGAAGCAGTTTTCTAGGCCATGAAAAAATGGCAAGAGATTTATTAAATACATAATTTGATGCATTTTTAATATAGATTTGATTGAAATAGAAACTTGGCCAAGCTGTTACTACTCCATCTTATAAGGCAGAATAATAATGCGATTTCTCAAAATAAAAATAGAAAAGCAAAAACTGGGTCTTGCTGCTAGAAAACCAGCTTTGAGATTGGCTTCATGTTTTCAAAATCCTGATAAATTTAATATTGATGTCCATGAAGTATTCATTTGTTGAATAAATTAATTTGAGCAAAAATTATATTTTAGTTATATTTACATTTTAAAAGTAAAATAGAAAAATCTCTCATTACCCTGCTTCTCCAAATAGCTTTGTTAGTTTGTGCGTATTTACTTTAAGTTTTTTGTAGTTGCAGTCACTAATATCCAGACTACTTTGAATTCTGGTTTGGAAAAAGCTCAGTATTGTAAACCTTTCCTCATGTTTTTGCATGGCCTCTACTTTTGTTGACTGTAATTTTCCAACAGTCATGCTGATGTCCTAATGACCTGCTTGTTTTTGGTGGATTTACTTAGTGGGAGCACGAGCTGAGGTTATGCGTGTTTAGTCCTCCAGCCTTGGAATTCTGATAGCCTTTCAGGGACTCAGTACTGATGTGACTGAATTGGACTCGAAGAGTAGACTTCCTTGTGAATTAGGTGGAATTGTTTGTGCATGTCTGGGTTGCTAAGGGGAAAGGAGGTGAGTTGAGAAGGGAAGGAAGACATACTTTCATCCAAATTTACGCCCTAACAGTCTGATTTTTTTTTAAATATAGAAATACTTGTTAAATATCTTCCATCAAGAGATAAACAGATGGACAAAAAGATTTCTATTCTAAAGGATCATGGCTATATAGAGTAAGTGTTTCTCTTTCCCTCTTAGAATTATTCCTTTAGGAAATGTTCATGGAAAACCTGGGGTTAAATTTTCCATGGGAGTGAGACACCTCTTGACCCTGTGTCAGCTGACGGGTAGGTATTGAGCACTTACTGTGTGCAGTAAAACTGTGCTTGATGTTGTGGAGGACATAAGGAGTAGAAGACACTTGAAAGAAACTTCTTTGGGGACATAAGGTACAAGCTAGAAATATTAAATTACGGTACCAAAAGAGAGCTTGGATGTGTTGATGGGTGGCCCAGGATGAGTCTGTCTACCCTGTGGTCATGTGGAAAGGCCAGGCTGGCCCTCAGGAGAGCCCAGGCACCTGGCACCATGGTGCAGGCTCTTGGGGTAGGTGGGTAGCCAGGTGATTCCATGCCAAGTGGCTAAACGGGGTTCAAGGCTCTCCCTTTTGGATTTTCTTTTCTGGATGAAATTAAGTTTGAAATGATCCCGCCATGGTGTGAGAGCAGCCTGGCAGTGGTGGCTGCCATCTGTGGGATGCCCGGGTAGTTCCAGTTCTTAAGCGTTTCTCTTACTGGGAACTCCTGCGCATGGGCCCTGCCTCAGGCCCCTCATTCATGTTCAAGCTTCTTACTAAAATTATTGCAAAAGAGCTGTTTACTCTTTAAAAAAAAATGGGGAGAGAATTTTCTGTTACTTAGGCTTTCTTTTTAAGTATTTGCGACTGATTTTCTCCTGTCCTTTGACCAAGATTGCAGGTTACATGACATTTAGCAACCCCTTTAAAAATGTGTTTGACTCTTCAGTCATTTGCTATGAGGTCATGAAATACTGAAATGACGGATTTGTCATTATTTGTTTTTCTGCTTCAGAAATTTGACATTCGGATGGGATGGACCATCTTGGAGGCTACTCACAGCCCTTAAGTTGTTATGTCTGGAAGCTGAAAAATTGTAAGTTTCACATGTGTTGGTCTTAAGCTGAGGCAACAGGCTAGATATAACTTTGGAGCGTTTGTTTGTGTTTTGGCTTGCATTCAGATACCCAACCAGGGAGGAAAAAGGAATGTCCTACATTGAAGTTGCTTTTTTGTTATGTAACTTGCCCATGTAGTAAATGTTTCATTTCTCAGTTTTAACCGTTTTGGAATTCTGGTTTTAGAATCATAATCAGAATACATAGTTCTGATAATTTTTTTGTTTCTACTCATATTTTCCTCCTGGTGACCTGAAATCCTTTAGAAAGTGTGGGCATTGGCACCGTTCAGAGGAAAGTCTGAGGGTAGGTAGGTTTTGCCCGGGACAAATAGAGCTCGAGCTCCTAACGTCGGTCCTGCCCTGGGGCAGATCCAGAAGCCTGGCTGAAGAGCTGGACTTTTCCATGGGGGAGGCAGGTCGGGGAGCACCCGGTGTGGGTCTGCATCCTGGCCAGGCTCCCTCATGTTCCTGCCTGCTGTCAGTCCTGCTCCCTGCAGCCACCTGTCGGCACATCCAGCTGTGCTGTACCCAGTGCAGGGGCAGCTTCGGCCTGAGTCCCTGGCAGGGAGAGCAGCCTTCAACCTTCTGCTGCTAGATATCCAGGGAGAACCTCTTGAAGATGGTGCAGGCTGTCCTTGAGCAGTTGGGAGGACTGACTGAGATGAGGCACAGTGCCTGGGAGCAGTCAGTGCCCCTTCCGTGATGCCTGTTCTTCTTGTGGATGAGATGATGTTGCTTCCTTCTTTTTCTCTAGGAACTTTTGGAGTAAAATTTCTCCCTGGTCTCAACACGAAACATAGTTTTTGTTTTTATTCTTAGCAAATGGAGTGTTTTTATCTTACAGATACTATGAATTCTTTAACTGATGTTTCCTTCTTTTTCTTGTTCACTGGAAAACTGAGAGGCAAATCTGAGGTCCATCCAAATGTACTTAATGTTAGGGCGTGCGGTTTCACACTGGCCCGTTCCTGCTGTGTCTTGTCTTTTCTCCCCTCTTCTTCCTTTGTCTTGTTTTCTGCCTTCATTCATCTTACCTTTAATTTCGTGTGCATTCATGTAAGCTTCTTTAAATCCTTCTGGCAACAAGGTATGAGTCCTTTTTGGACACTTCAGCCTAAAATTAAATACAACAACTGGCTGTTTCCCAGAGGTCTTCCTTAGGCCTCTTTTCTTCCATTTGAGTTACTGCTTACTGAGTGGGTGGTGGAGAAAACATGTGTGGGCTCTGGCTGATGCGTGTTTGCAGTTCTTTCTGCCTCTCATTAGGTCTGTCACTTAGGGTGGGTGCTTCAACTTTCCTGAGTGAGCCCTGGCATGGGGATAATCGTGCTTTCTTTGCTAGGTAACTGTGAAGATTAAATTAGATAATGGTTATTCATGAACACCATGCCTGACAATCATTTTTTTTTCTTTCCTGAGAACTCATTTCACCTGTCATCTCTGACGCTGGAGCCTTCTGAGACTATTCCGGGCTGTGTCTTGCCAGCTGTTCTGAATTCTAATGGGCTCCTGTTTACTTCCACAGCAGCCATCTTTCCTCCCCTTGGAAGCCACTTCCACTTCCAGATTCTCGGTGTTCAGAATCCGGTCCTCCATCCTTTTCTCCCGGTAGTTCTTTCTAGTGTCTAGGTCTGGCGCTGCCACCTCTGCTCCACATCCTGCTGTGGCTCCCCTGCACCTGCCACAGCAGACCTGCCAGAGTGGGCCCTGCCTGCTGACTGAGCCCCATTTCCTACGAGCCTTTGTAGTAGAGCTTTGGAATGACTTGCATGGGGATAGAGGCTTGCTGTAGATTCCTCCTTCCAGACGCGGAGCATTTGGCTTTGTGAATTGTGTTCCAGTTTGCTACTATTTTGGACAGACTGTCACTTGAAGAGAAGGAAAACTCCCACCTTTGCTCCTTAGTCCTCTGCCTTTTGGCTGTGGACTCGCCCTCCTGTTCTGTCACTGGCTTCGTTCCCATGGCTGGGGACAGGACTTCATTCACTTATGGGTCACACAGGCTTGTCATGATGATAACATTCAGTCCTTGCCTGCAGAGAGCACCCACCCCTCGTGCTTTTTCTTCTCAGCTCCTCCTCCTCCTTTCTTATTACCTGGTCGGCTTCCACACAGGAGCTACAAGTGGCGTGGAGGTTTGGGGAGTCTGCTTATGGAATGAGTTGTATTATGCTCCTGGAGAAATAGGAGAAGGAGTTTATGTGTTGCATTGAAATAGAAAAGTCTGCTTTTTGAGAGCCTGCTAAAATTGTGTCATGGAACATTTTGGTTCTAGTACATGCTGGAAAAAAGTACTTCTTGGGGAAGTAATTTCAGATACGAATGAGAAGACAAGTTTGGACATAGCCCAGAAAATATGCTATTATTTCATGGAAGAGACTAATGCTATGCTTCAAAAGGTATGTTTCCAGAATGTGACATCCTTAAAGAAGTGTCTGGATTCAGCAGTTCCTTGTTTTGTACATGTTGTTAGGGATAGTGCATTTCATAAGAGCATTGTTTAGTCCCTTAAATAAATAAATGTTGATGTAATTACCTCTATTTTTGTTTTCTTTGAGATGGAGTTTCACTCTTGTTGCCCAGGCTGGAGTGTAATGGCACGATCTTGGCTCACTGCAACCTCCACCTCGCAGGTTCAAGCGATTCTCCTGCCTCAGCCTCCCAGGTAGCTGGGATTACAGGTGCCCACCACCATGCCCAGCTAATGTTTGTATTTTTAGTACAGATGGGGTTTCACCATGTTGGCCAGGCTGGTCTCGAACTCCTGACCTCAGGTGATCCACCCACCTCAGCCTCCCAAAGTGCTGGGATTACAAGTGTGAACCACTGCGCCTGGCCTGAACCACTGTGTCCGGCCTCCATTTTTGACTGTTAACCTTGTCCCTATGCTTTTTCTCTCAATTTTTTCTTTATTTTTTCTTTTTATTTTATTTTATTTTTGAGACAGGGTCTTGCTCTTGTCTCCCAGACTGGAGTACAGTGGCACAATCTCGGCTCACTGCAACCTCCGTCTCCTGGGTTGAGGCGATTCTTCTGCCTCAGCCTCCTGAGTAGCTGGGATTACAGGCGCCCACCACCATGTCTGGCTAATTTTTGTGGTTTTAGTAGAGACGGGGTTTCACCATGTTGGGCAGGCTGGTCTCGAACTCCTGACCTCAGGTGATCCATCCACCTCAGCCTCCCAAAGTGCTGGGATTACAGGCATGAGCCACCACATCTGGCCTCTTTATTTTTAATTGTATGTATTTATAGTGTACCACATGATGTTTTAAAATATGTATACATTGTAGATGGCTAAATGAAGATATTTAACATATGCATGATCACATATACTTATTTTTTTGTGGTGAGAACACTTAAAATCTACTCTTAGCAATTTTCAAGTACATAATATGTTGTTACTAACTAGTCATCACAATGTACAATAGATCTCTTGAAGTAATCCTCTGTCCAGCTGAGATTTTGTGTCTTTTGATCAACATCTCCCTAATCCCCCTCCAACCCCTCAGCCTCTGGTGACCACAATTTGACTCCCTGCTTCTATGAGTTTGACGATTTTAGAGTCCACATATAGTGAGATCATGCAATATTTGTCATTCTGTGCTGGCTTATTGCCCTGTGACAACATGTCCTCCAGGTTCATCCATGTTGTCACAAATGACAAAATTTCCTTTTTTTTTTTTTTTATAAGGCTGAATGTACTTCACTTGGTATATATGCCACGTTTTCTTTCTTTCTTCATCTGTTGATGAATACTTAGGTTGACTCCATATCTTTGCCTTTACCTTTTATTAAAAGGTAAAAAGTAAAAAAGGTAAAAAGTAAAAGTTACTGTATGACTTCAAGCATTTTTTCTCATTGATGCGTTTATTTAGTAAATGTTTTAGTTAAATGAGAAATCAGCTCATTCGTATGAAAACATGCCTGGGATTTAAGGAGTGATTTTAATGTAGAAGACATTATGGAAATGAAATAAGCCAGACACAAAAGGACAAATACTGTATGATTTCACTTCTGTGAGGTTCCTAGAACAGGCAAGTTCATAGAGACAGAGAGTGGAGTAGAGGTAACTGGGGGTTTGGGGAAGAGGGGAATAGGATTATTGATAAATGGTTATAGAGTTTCTGTTTGGGGTGATAGAAACAGTTCCAGAGCTGGAGAGTGGTGGTGGATCTATAACAGTGTGAATATACTTCATGCTGCTGAACCGTACACTTAAAAACCATACACTTAAAACCGTACACTTAAAAGTGTAAAAAACCGTACACTTAAAAAGGTATATTCTATGATATATATATATAACTGCAATAATAATAATTAAAAAATATCTTTCAGGTGTCGCATATGAAGGATGAAAAAGAGGCCCTAATAAATCAACTAACTTTGGTGGAATCCTTGTGGACGGAAGAGCTAAAGATTCTCAGGGCATCTGCCAAGACCCTGCACAGTTTGCAAACAGCTTTTACCTGATTTCACCAAAGTGCGTTTGGTCACCTCCTCTGGTGGGGTGTTAGTCACACATTTTAGACTAAGGTTTGATGGACTAAATTTATATAGTTTAGAGTCGAGAGTGGCATCTACTCAACAATTAGGAACATCATCCTTTTCTTTTTGCTTTTCCTACAGAAACAGAAGTTAATTTGAAGAGCGTCATCATGGCCTGGGGCGGTGGCCGCCCCCAGGACGTGCAGGATTTCTGCAGGGGGCAGCACAGGTTCTGGGACTGTGAGGCTGTGAGTGAAGGTGGACAAGCTGTCTGGATAGCACGTCTAATGCTCTTCCGAATAAAGTGCTGAACTGTGAGGAGAGAGGCGGACTGCCAGGGAGCCAGGAGCCAGCTGCGTCCGTGTGTGGTCTGTCACCACGGGGCCTGCTTCTTATCTGACACAGCAGCTCTCAGAGTCTAGCGGTTGTGCTTTTAAGATGCTCTGATACCGTTGGGTTAAGGGGCAGGTTGGCGGTGGGTGGCTTTGGGTGGTGGGTGTGGGGAAGTGTGAGGTAGTCCTGGGTTCCCGCCAGGGTGGCCCAGCCGCCAGCCGTTCCCTGTGTGACTGCACTGAGGTGGGCGTTGAAGAGTCCCCTAGGGGACACAGGGCTTCCAAGAGGAGGGAATGTCCTCTAAACATGCTCCTGGCCTCCCAAGGCGGCGCTTGTCTAATTATTCACTTGGGAAGAATGACTGGCTTAGCCAGCGGCCCTTTCTGCTTTGTTCTGGTGGCTGTCCTGGGCAGGCCTTTCAACCTGGGGAGCTGGCCCATCCGCGGTGGGCCTGTCTGCTTGATTCTGGGGTTCAGTGTAGGTCAGCTGATTGCAAACCACGGTGGTGGTTTGGCCTCTGTTCTTACTCTTGAGTTTTGATCCTGCTCAGACCCTGGGTGGGGAAAAGGGGCGCTTCCTGCACAGCTCTCAGCTGCCTGTGGCCTCGGGACTGCCTGCATAAGTTAACGCAGGGGCTGCTGGTCCTGTTCAGGCCCATGCCGGAGACGCTGCGTAGACAGTGTTGCCCAGGGTCCTATTTACCCTCCCAGGGTTCATTCTTCCCAAGAACTGAAATTCCTTTCTCACTGGAGCCCAGCAAAACCAAATGAACGGGGCCTGCTGGCCTCAGAAGGCAGGCAGAGTTTAAAATAAAACTTTCTCATGATTTCTTGAACATCTTTCCCTGTTTGTATATACAGTTTGTGTTTATTTTTCAATAGTTGCAGTATATTTCTTTTTTTTAATATTCAGTATAATGCAGTGTATTTCATCATACAATGTATGGAGAGTGGGCAGACTCTTCTGTGGAGGGCCCGGTAGTGACCATTTGAAGCTTTCTGGACCTGTGGCCTTAGTCCCAGCGATTCTGCAGAGCAGCTATCAGCAGCATGTCAACCACTTGCAAGGCTGGGCTCCCGGGAAACTATTGACAGTGACAGGTGGTGGGCCGTAAGTTTCCTGACCCCTGTGCTGTGCCAGAATTTCTTTCTCCTCTTTCCTGTGAATGCACCTAAATAGGTTAATTCCTTTACACCTTTCAAAATGGACAGCCCCTTGAACATTAAAAACTTTGCAGACCCTACATGGTCATTGCGCTTTCCTCATCTAGTGATTAGAAAAAATGCACAATGGGTGGGTGCTGTGCTCACACCTGTAATCACTTTAGGGGAGGCTGAGCGGGGAGGATCTCTTGAGTCCAGGAACAGCGTGGGTGACACAATGAGCCTCCCCCACCCCCACCACAAAACAATTTAAAAAATGAGCGGGCGGGTTGACCTGTGCCTGTAGCCGCAGCTACTCGGAAGGGTCAGGCAGGAGGATGGCTTAGAGCCCGGGAGTTTGAGGTTGCAGTGAGCCAGGATCGCGCCACTGCACTCCAGTCTGGCCAACAACTGAGCCCCTGTCTCTCAAAATAATAATAACAATTAAAAACACAGTGACACAAAGCAGCTACCCAGAAACGTTTACAACTGAGTAATACTCCATCAGCACAGCAGATCTGCATTTATTTACAGCTGAGGAATACTCCATCAGCACAGCAGATCTGCATTTATTTACAGCTGAGTAATACTCCATCAGCACAGCAGATCTGCATTTATTTACAGTTGAGTAATACTCCATCGGCACAGCAGATCTGCATTTATTTACAGCTGAGTAAGCGTTCATCAGCACAGCAGATCTGCATTTATTTACAGCTGAGGAATACTCCATCAGCACAGCAGATCTGCATTTATTTGAAGAATAGTAGTATGAGACTGTAGACAATGCTAGTTATGTGAAGTCACAGACCCTTTGCAAGAAACCTGTGGCTCCACACACTTCCTTTTGGCTGCTCTTTTGTTTTGGACTCCAAGACTCCAGTGGCAAGCTGTTCTTGTAAAATCGTTCTGAGGGCAGCAAACCCATCTGTCCCCACCTAGGGAGAGGCAGCTTGCACTGCTGTTTAACCAATGGCACTGTTTTCTTCCTTATTCTCTAATCACCACCGCCCTCCCGGACGCCCCCTGCCATCTTTCTTTCTTGGTTTTCTCTTTGCTGGTGCTTTGGGTGTGCCTGAGGCTCCTAAAGACTCGCACCCCTGTTGGTGTCAGGTTCTGAGTTTGGGTGGTAAACCTCCAACTGCTGACTTGGCCTAAGGGGACAGACCACAAGAAGTTAAGGATGATTGGAGATTGGAGGCATTCCTCGATACTCTTCCCAGCTAAGCATAGAATAGGCCCTCCTCTGTGGAGGGTGTGAAGTCTGGAGGCTGGCAGTGATGTTTGAGGAAATAGAAATAGAAAATAGGTCTGTAATTCTGTGAAAATGGCTTTCGCACGGAAACTCCTGGCTGTGCCCCTTGGGGGCCCTTGGGGTCCAGAGAGGCAATTCTGGCTCCTCCTTGGTGGTCAGCTGCTGCCTTCCATACTGTAGGTAAATGCTGGACAGCAGGTTTTGTCCCGAGGGGGAACCTGTAGCAGAACCCGTGACTTGTGGGCTGATATTTGAACAGCCTTGTCAGGAATCCCTTGTGAAAGGATTGTTTTACAGCCCACAGTCCAGAACGCCCTGTGGGAACTAAGGGGAAAAAAAGGGAGGAAAGAAGGAGCAGGAACAATGCATCTTTCTCCAGCCCGGCCCACTGTCTATCCATGCATCAGCGCCCCCACAATAGGACAGCGACCCCCACACATCAGAGCCCCCCACAATCAGCGGCCCCCGTAATAGGACAGCAACCCCCCCACAATCAGCGGCCCCCGCAATGGGACAGCGACTCCCCCAGACATCAGAGCCCCCCCAACAGTAGGACAGCGACCCCCACACCATCAGAGCCCCCCACACATCAGGGCCCCCCATAGTAGGACAGCGACCCCCCCACACATCAGTGCCCCCCAAAATAGGACAGCGACCCCCCACATCCGTGCCCCCCACAATAGGACAGCGACCCCTACACACACATCAGAGCCCCCCACAGTAGGGCAGCAACCTCCACACACACATCAAAGTACCCCTCACACAACACACCAGTGTCCCTGCAGACAACACGCCAGCATTTCCCACACAACACGCCAGTATCCCCCACACAACACTCCTGTGTCCCTCACACACATGCCAGCGTCCCCCAGACATGCTGAGTCCCACCGACAGCACACCAGCGCCTGCCCTCACCAACACATTCCTCTCCTGTGCTCATCCCTCTCACCTTTCAGAGGGCGTTTCTCATCTTCATGTTACAACCTTTCACTATTTTTTTGTGTTAATATCCTTTTGTTCTATGTAGTTTTAACATTAGGCTATAAGAAAATTAACAAAAAACAAAAAAGAAAAACAACTCCTGGGCCGGACGCGGTGGCTCACGCCTGTAATCCCAGCACTTTGGGAGGCCGGGGCGGGCGGATCACGGGGTCGGGAGATTGAGACCATCCTGGCAAACATGGTGAAACCCCTAAAAACACAAAAAATAAGCTGGGTGTGGTGGCGGGCGCCTGTAGTCCCAGCTATTCGGGAGACTTAGGCAGGAGAATCGCTTGAACCCAGGAGGCGGAGGTTGCAGTGAGCCAATATCATGCCACTGCGCTCCAGCGTGGGCAACAGAGTGAGACTCCGTCTCAAACCAAAAAACAAAAAAGTCCCCAAAATACAATGTATTTAATAAAAATGTAAGGTTACCACTCCACACCTTGATGGCTGTAATTAACAAGGTAGATAGTAGCAGGTGCTATTACTATCTGAGGTGGGAGGATCACTTGAGGCCAGAAGTTTGAGACCAGCCTGGGCAACATAGTGAGACCCCCGTCTCTACAAAAAATTAAAAAAAAATAGCTGGGTGTAGTGCTGCGTGCCTGTAGTCCTAGCTACTTTGGAGGCCGAGGCAGGAGGATCACATGAGTCTAGGAGCTTGAGGCTGCATTGAGCTATGATCACACAGCTGCACTCCAGCCTGGATGACAAATCTGTGGAGACCTAATTAGGCCAAAGGAGCCAGGCTGGTGGGACTGAGGGAGTTAAAGAGATAAAGCAGGTAAGTTATCAGCCTCCCTTTCTTCATGGTCCAGGACACATAGCCCTCCAGTGCAGATAACATACATAACCCACAGTCCTCCTGCACCCAACTTAACATCAAACACTTCCGTTTATCATCAGACACCTTGGCTGATAGAAAAAGGCACGTTAGCTCCTTGCAGCCCTGGTGTTATCAGTATTGCGTGTAGCCTTCTGCAACAGAAACCATCCTATAAATCTCTAGGAACCTTTGTCTCTGGCAGTCAGCTCCTCCTCTGCTGATCCGCCCGTTGCCTCCTCATGTGTTTTCATTCTTCTTCGTGTAAATCTGCCTTTCTTTACCTACAGCTGTCTTGGTAAATTCTTTTACCCCTGCATGCCACTGACCCAAATGGTTGTCACCCACCTGTGACAAGTGAGACCCTGTTAAAAAAAAAAAAAAAGGTGGAGTGGGACTCACAGCCACTGTGTCCTCCTGGTGCCAGGCATGATATCCCTTTCTCATCTAATTGTCACAGTAGCTCTATGAGGTAGGTATTCCATTTTTTGTTAGAGTTGAAGACACTGAGGCATAGACGGGTCAAATGACTTCTCCCACATCACATGGCAGGGATTAGAACCCAGCAGTGTCTGGTGTCTGAGTTCCTGCCTCTGATGTGTGATACCTGTTTCTGCCTCCTGAGTTAGGCAGTCTAGGGCATGGGAGGGGACCTGCCACCTTCCAGCAATTTGTGTTATCTGGTTTTTGCTTTGTGAAAGGCCGCGTGACTGCCTCACCTTGCAGGCTGTTCTGGAGGAACCGGGCAGCTCCACCCCCTGGCCTAGACGCAGGGCAAAGAGTGAGCCAGTCTGTCTCACTGCAGCCTTGCCTCGAATGGTCCCATTTCAGTTTTACAGCCCCCTCCTCATCACACTGACAACCCGGATCTCATACAGGGCATACCTGTTATTAGAGGGCCGAGAAGGGGTGAGTGAGCCCAAAGCAGGTCTTCTCCCATTTCTGTGGAATTCGTGCTGGGGGAGAGGCTCTCCTGTTGCCGTTGAAAACATTGTCTCGGTACCATAGAAACTGCTTAGAACCCTGAAATCTCTTCCTAATGCCCAGATTCAGAAGACAGGGCCAAGACCCGAGAAACAAAGCCTACTCAGCAATGATTGGGACAGTCAACAATTCCAGTTTTTGCTGTGATAATCACAAAGGGAGACTAAACCGCTGACAGATAAAAGGGAGTTCAGGATGTCACAGAGGAAGCAGGTTGGGTCTAGGGGAGTGTGTTTGGGACAGGCAGCGTAGACTTCTGCTTCTCGCGCTGTGGCTGAGACCTGTGTCACTGGAAGTCTTTGCCTTCCAAGCCTCTGATGGTAAAGGCTGTAGCAGTGGTTGGCGGCTTTGCTGTTTCCTGGAATCACACGCGGAGCTTTAACAACTTCTTTTTTTTTTTTTTTTGAGACGGAGTCTCGCTCCGTCACCCAGGCTGGAGTGCAGTGGCCGGATCTCAGCTCACTGCAAGCTCCGCCTCCCGGGTTCACACCATTCTCCTGCCTCAGCCTCCCGAGTAGCTGGGACTACAGGCGCCCGCCACCTCGCCCGGCTAGTTTTTTTTTTGTATTTTTTAGTAGAGACGGGGTTTCACCGTGTTAGCCAGGATGGTCTCGATCTCCTGACCTTGTGATCCGCCCGTCTCGGCCTCCCAAAGTGCTGGGATTACAGGCGTGAGCCACCGCGCCCGGCCTGCTTTAACAACTTCTAAGGCCGGGTTCCCACTGCAGGGGTCTGAGCTAGTTGGCCTGGGGTGCGCCGGGGTGTTGGAGATTTAAAGCTTCCACGTGACCGATGTTCACCAAAGTCCCCTTTCTGAACCTCTGGGTTATGGGAGCAAGCGATTTTACCTTTTCCCAGCTGGAACTTTCTGGTTTTCGGAGGTGTGGGAGGCAAGCTGGAGAGTGTCAATTCTTTTTCTTTTTTTTTTTTTTTCTTAATTTTTTTTGGAGACAGAGCCTTGCTCTGTCGCCCAGGCTGGAGTGCAATGGTGTGATCTCGGCTCACTGCAACCTCTGCCTTCCGGATTTGAGCACTTCTCCTGCCTCAGCCTCCCGAGT